GAATGCGCAGATCTGCCCTCACAGAGGAGGGAGAGCTTGTACCTGAAGGCGGGCCGGGGAGAGTGCTGTGCAACTTACCTGGCTGCTTCTTCCTCCTCGTGGCCTGAGTGACGGCTGCTGGGAGCAGGAGGCGGGGCTGGTTGCATGTGCCCGCCCCCTGGACTCCTTATTGCCGGAGCTACGCTCCTGTGCGCTCCCGCAGGAAATGAGCCCTGAATACTGATACTTTGTATCACTTATATACACCTATTTTTTTGTTAACTTGTACTTCTGATGTCATTTTCTGGTGTCATTCTGTTTTTATTTAACAGATTTTTAACTTGTATATTTATTGTTTTTAATCTCTTGTCGTGAGCCGCCCTGAGCCCATCCTAGGATAGGGTGGGAGATCAGTGCAATAAATAAATAAATAATTTTGGCACCCACTATTCTTTTATTATAAGGGAGAGATACTGTATAACTGTGGCATTTTTTTGCCTGTAGTATTTTGATAAAGGTTCTTTTCACTTGTCAGCATCCCTTTCCCAGCTTGTTTCCTTTCCCAACCCTGACTCCTGCAGACTTATCAGCAAAGCAGTGATTTTATAGACATCTGGAAAAGAGTTACCTTCATCATTAACACTTCTCCCCGGATCCACAGGGGGAAGCTCCGGAAGGCTCTCCTGAATAGATCTGTTTGCAACAGGATCCGTCTCCTGTGAAGCTGTTGCTGCCGTCTTTATGACACCGTCTGCCACGCTACTCTCGCCTTCATTCTGGGTACTCAGAGAGGCCAGCGTCCTTTGGTCACCACTGTGATCACCCCCAAAGTTGCTAATTTCCCCATCCTGTTTTTCTGTTCTGTTCTGCCTCCTCGGGTCTGAGAAGCCCAACGCCCTGTTCTGATCAGGCGCTGAATGATCCACTGCATTCTGAAACGAAACCGCATTTAAGTCGTCACGTGGAAGAGGCACTTCTTCATCACATCCCTCATTTTTTGTAACGTTAACTGGCGTCGCTTGCTCCTCCGTATGCTCCACTCTTCGGGCGCCTTCGTTCAAGGGATCTTCGTCAACGCCTTCGGCTCCTCTGCCCTCTTCTACAATCTCAGTTTCCCCAGAGGTAAGGCAGAGTGAATTTTCCCCCAAAGGGGTTTGTCCTTCATCTTCATTTGTCAAAAAATCATCGTCGCTCAACTCGCAGATGATAATAGGCAGTACAATCTCACACACTCCGGGCTCTGCAGAAGATACAAAAGTAATCAGCAGGGTGTTCCCCTCTAAGAAATGGAAAACATACAGTGGGGCATGCGTGACTTGTTATTTCACTTCGCAGTTAACAAACCTTCGTGCCTTGGAAGTATGGCCTGCCTGATTGGTAGGGTGGGGAGTTATAGGCAATGCTCCCTCAATCTAACCTGTGGAGTCTTGTGGGCAAAAATTCTACTTGGTGAGCGACTAGCATTAAGGTTGTGAGCGAGTGATTTGGCTACTGCATAAATTAGTTTGCTCTGGAGACATCCCCTTCCTGAGCTAAGAATGTGTGAGACAGAGGCTAAAAAGCTGTGCGCTAGCTCACGCTAACTCAGCTTAGAGGGAACACTGGTTACACAGGCCCTTACATAAGACTGTGACGGTCATAATGAAGCTTATCTCAAAGGGGCAATGTTCACTGTGAAATTGATCTGAGGAGTCTGAATGTGCAGCAAGGTGTTCCCCAGCTGAGGCTTAGAATCCTAGAATCACATTTATTTATTTATCTGTTATATTTATACCCCGCCCTCCCAGCTATGGCTGGCTCAGGGCAGCTTACGACAGCATAAAAACAACAATAAATAAAGTAACAATCCTAAAATCATAACAATCACAATTCTAAAACCACAACAGTC